CAAATTGGTTGCAGTGAAGTTGACCGTAAAACATTCAGTTGCCACTGAAGGTTTGGTGGTAGGAGGAAGAGCTAGAAAAGATACAGTGAAACTTAGATATGGGAACCAGGGTTGATGGCATATAATCAATCCATCAATCACTATTTTGTATTTTGCACTTCCTGTCACAAACATAGTGGTGCATAACAGAAGTTTAAGAACGAGTGCATGCTTTTCACCGTTTGAAAGTAACTGTTATTCTTGATCTACTGTGGATCTAGAAAAGGTCAAGAAGCACCAGCACGGGCAGAGAAGCAAGTTGTGGAAAAGAAAGATTGATGGTTTAAGCCTTGAGAACAGAAGACTGAGCAGGACTGTGATGGTGCTTCCCAAGAATGTAAAGGGTTACTTTGCAGAAGGACATGGCCTGTAAAGTCCCAAGAAGGGATATAAGGTCACAAAGCAGTTTCTTGTTCAGTGTTGTAGAACAATTTCTAGTGGCCATAATCAGAATTGGAATATCAGAAATCAGTATCCACTCTCTGTTTTAAGATGTTAACTGAACATACCATTTTGGGGATTGACATGGTGCACCGGTGAACACCTTTTACTGTCTGGAAAATCTAATATTCAACCTGCTCCTACATCCCTGTGGTTTCCACCCATCTCTCGTGGCAGAAGCCTAGGGCATACTGCTATACTGTTTTTGCAATTGGAATATTTGGGACTGGAAAATATTTGTCTGGAAAAATATTCTCAATATTCAACCTCCTCCTATATCTCTGTGGTTTCCACCCATCTCTCATTGAAGAAGCTCTAGGGTAGACATTTCAAACTCAAGAACTTCAGGCCAGATCTTGTCTGTGATGGGTTTAGAACTGGCATGTGAAGCCATCCTGGGGTTAGTGAGGGACTGGCCCCTGCCACCTTGGTCCCAGCCCACCTCAACCTGGCCAGGGCTCCCCTTGGGCGCATGCATTGGAGGCGGCGAGTGCATAGGGACCTGTGGTGCCCAGCAACAACTGCAGCTCATTGGTCCCCCAACTGCCTATTGGCTGGCAGAGACAGCCTGCTGGATGTGAGCCTGGAGTGTCCAATAAGCCGCAGTTGGCCTTGTTCCACCTACACCGCACTTGTGCACCTTGGCATCCCGCAACTAGGCCACCCCTGCCCTGTCACCTGCCTTGCCTTGCCTCGGCAGCACCAGCAGCAACAACAACAGTGCCTTCCAGCGGAAGCCCTTCGGCCCCTCTGTTCTTCTCCAGTCTGGGAAGCCCGCGAACCCAGAACGGAAGCCAGTGTCACAACCCGCTGGGCAAAGTAGTAGCCACCTTGGACTTTTCTCACTCCAATTTTCTCAGTTGCCAGTCCTTTCATCTTGCTTCTTTTCATCAGAGCTGTCTATCTTTTAGTTTGTTTCTTTATTTTGACTTCTGAGCTTTGGGTCTATGGTAGCAGAGCTCCCAGGGAGACATTTTGGTTTCCTTCTCCTCCCTGTCTCCTGTCTAAAGTGCCTGTTTGATTGGCACGCCTGCTTTGATTGGCAGATGGGTCCTTGTGATAATGGGGAAGGTTTAAGAAAATGGGGACAGAATTAGCACAGGGATTTTTAATCTGCTCAGGTAAACTGCCTTTCCACCTACGGTGTTCATGTACTTGTTGGTGTGTCTTTGCACTTGTTGGTGTGCATGTACAAAAGAGAATGGCTTAGAAAATGTCTTCCACATCATACACAGGATTGCTTCCATAAAGTGATCAAGTTCTTAAGTCTTTAACACCACAGAAGCAGAGAATGAAACAGTGGAAAAGAAAAATATCTTCTTTTTAAATTACACATATAAAGCTTCTGTTTAAAGCTGTCTGAGGCCACAAATAGCAGCAGTTAGGAAGCAGTTGTGAAAATGCATGGATATCCAGGTTTTGATGAATGAAATAAAACGACTAATGAAGAAAGAACAAAGGAAGTAAACCTAAATCTTCGTATGTAGACACCAAAAGTTTATCTTCAAAAGTTGTTTTCAAATTATTCATTACAATATCAAATAGGTATTAATAAATACATGGGGAATAATTTTACTTAATCAGGGTAAAAAAATTTTAAGGCAAAGGCTAGAATCTGGGGGACTGTGAGTTCTAGTTCTGCCTTAGGCATGAGAGCTGGCTGGGTGATTTGAGCCAGTCATTCAGTCTCAGCCCAATCCAGCTCAAAAATTGTTTTGGAAAAAATAGGAGGAAGGATATTGGGCTTAGGTGACATGCTGGCTAGTCAATTCATGTCATAATCAAAGGATCAACACTCAGCACTTGTAGAAAAATGCTAGGAAGAAAAAAGATGTACTTAATCAAATATCTTTTGCCCTAGTTCCACCTACCATTAGGGGTAAAATGTCCACTGTATTTCTCAAATTTATAGTATTTTTGCTTTTTCACATTGTGAAAAGCATAATGTGAAAATAAAACAATTTGCATAGCTGAATTATATAATTTTATAAAATATTCTATTATTCTTATAAAGAAAAAGTAAGTAAATGAAAAAAACATAAATACAGTATATAAGCCTAACATTTATGCCACAAAAAGATACACAACTCATAAAATATCTATTGTAGACAAGATACACAACTTGTGCTCTAGGGTTGACCCAAAAAGAACTGAACAATTTTTGTCTATTGCTGATTCTAAACACTATATGCAAATTTTAAAAATATTCATGAAACTTCATTTGTAAATATTTTTGAAGATTGTTCTCCAAAATGCTAAATATATTTCTGTTCAGGAAATATGAAACATATTAATTCAGTCCTGAACTAGTACGACACCTAGTCTTACATGCAACTGGCCCTTTGAGGGCAACTATAATGCTGACGCAGCCCTCAATAAAATAGAGTTTTACACCCCTGCTCTAGGGCATATTGCTTTACTTGCTCTGTAATTGGTATATTTTGGACAAGGTTGGACATTTTAGATTGTGTACCACAGTTGTTCATGGTACAAGAAACTTCTGTAAAGTGTACTTACTGGTCTGAGGTGATTCTTCATGATAATCTGAAATGAAAAGAGAGTTTCAGAAATGGAAAGAGAGTTACAAAAGAAGGCCCAAGACCACACTAAAATGGGAAGACTCTCTCAAGCTCTCCACCACGAGAAAAATAAGATTCCTCCTACTTCCAATTATTCCATGTCAACAAATCTCAAACAGTAGGGCGTCAAATTATCCCCAAGATCCACAGATAGCAGCAAACTTTACTTTAAGTAAGTCACAGTGACCAACTCTATATAAAGTGTCCACCTAGTCCAATGATTGCTTGTAAGAAGGTCCTGGGACAGTGTCAAAAAAGAAGCATTCAGCAGTACAGAGCCACCATGCCTGGACTGCGAAATTCCAAATGACCATGAGGTATTAATAAATACAGCTGCCATTTTTTGATCATCTAGATTTTTGTAGCCTGAATTTGGTAGAGCTAAAGAAAGTCTTGCAACCCTCTGGCATCTCTCCAAGGTGTCGCAGACAGGAACTATCACTTTAGCTCCATAACTTAACCAATTCAGTTCCAGCCAACCTCATATGTAACCACTTTAGTCATGAAAGCCATCTTCTCCTTACCATTAACAAAAAGGCTGTTTGGATCCAAGTTGTACCTCTCCATCTTGGTGAAACCGTTGGTCTCATTTACAAATTTGTGATATATGTTCACTCGATCAAAAATTGGAGCTGTGGCATTTTTACGGTAGCAGCAGACACTGTCTATGCCGGTGTTCTCGCCCTGATTCACAGGTCTGAGAATGAAAAGAGAAAATTTGAGATATATTCAGAGAAGCTGTAGGAAACTTCACAAAGGTCAAGTCCCATTTGGATCTACCTGGCCGGCCACAAAGTAAAAGGTGAGGGTTCAGTTCAGTTCAGACTTAATACAGGTCTGCTGTATTATTGCAACCCTGACCATTTTGTTGAAATTGGTGTGTTCCATGAGCGTGCCACTTCACATTTCCCCCCCCTGGTTCAACTATTCAGAATCCCCACTGGGTATTTCCTAGCTGGTTTCATTCTTGAATGGCTCCCTACATCAGGGGGACACAGTTCTATCACCTTTTTTTGGACGTTTTCAGGCAGTATTTTTAATCTGGTGTTATTAAATTTTAATTTTCACTTCAAACCCAATTGTGGGAAGTAGTGGAGGAAACTAACCATGGAGCCTCTAGTGAAGTGATAGGAACTGAATATTGAAGCAAAGAAATGGTTTTAGTGATTTGTGTATCCATGTAATATGTTACAGACTGAAGCTGAAACAATTTCAGGGTTCTCTAAAACGGGATTCCAATCCCTGGCCGTGTCATGCAAGAAACTGGGCTGTGCAAACAAGGGAAGCCCCATCCCTAGGATGCAGACAGCATGCCAAACCTTGCCCCCTCCAATCCATCAAAAAAACTTTATCCACAGAAGCAGTGGGCACCGCTGCTGTAAAATATGACTACATGTGAAAATTCCATATCAGAATCCTTTCACCTCTATAGCAGGGCATATAGGCATCATTTAAAAAAATCTCCATTCCATATTACCTACCTTAATGTTGATAAACTACAGTTGATCAAATATGGACCAATCTTGCTGGTCTTCAATATCTGTTCCAGCTAGGTTTAAAGGAAAAACTAATTATTGCTGATGGTAAAATACAATTGTTGATTATTTTATGAAAATATTATGTCGAAGAGCTAATGGGGTAAGTATGCATTTGCCTCCTCAGCAATTTACATAAAAGAACTTGTCTTGGTTTAATGAAAAAACTACGTATTTATTGGCAATAATAAAATACTATTGCTGAGTATATCATGAAAGTCCTAAATTGAAAGTCCTTATTGGACTAAGTATGCATTGATCTTCTTACCAATTTAACGAAGGATCGTTGTGTTGATCTGAAAACCTTAGATGTTGGATCAGCCATCTGTGGCCTATAGATCAAATTGGTTGCAGTGAAGTTGACCCTAAAACATTCAGTTGCCACTGGAGGTTTGATGGTGGGAGGAAGAGCTAGAAGAGATACAGGGAATCTCAGATATGGAAACCAGAGTTGATGGCATATAATCAATCTATTAATCATTATATTGTATTTTGTACTTCCTGTCATGAACTCAGTGGTGCATAACAGAAGTTTAAGTATAAGCATATGTTTTTCACAGTTTGAAAGTAACTGTTATCCAGCCAGTTGTGCAAAAGAAAGATTGATGGTTTAAGCCTTGAGAACAGAAGATTGCTCAGGACTGTGATAGCACTTCCCAAGAACGTAAAGGGTTACTTTGCAGAAGGACATGGCTTGTAAAGTCCCAAGGTGCGGCAAAGCAGTTTCTTGTTCAGTGTTGTAGAACTATTTCTAATGGCCATAATCAGAGGTGGAATATCAGAAAATAGTATGCACTCTCTGTTTTAAGATGTTAACTGAACATACCATTTGGGGAATTGACATGGTGCACTGTTGAACACCTTTTACTGTCTGGAAAATCTAATGTTCAACCTCCTCCTATATCCCTGTGGTTTCCACTCATCGGTCATGGCAGAAGCCTCTAGGGCATACTGCTACTCTTGCGACATGGCTGGACATTTTAGATTGTGTACTACAGTTGCAATTCATGGCTCAAGAAACATCTGTAAAGTGTACTTACTGGTCTGAGGTGATTCTTCATGATAATCTGAAAGGGAAAGAGAATTGCAAAAATTGAGTCACTAAAGAAGGCACAAGACCACACTAAAATGGGAAGACTCTCTCAAGCTCTTCACCATGAGAAAAATAAGATTTGATAAATTCCTCCTACATACTTCCAACTACTTCATGTCAACAAATCTCAGATAATAGGGTTGCAAATAATCCCAAATAGTAGCAATCTTTGATTAAATTGGCCACTGTGAACTAACTCTATATAAAGTGTTCACCTAGTGGTTGCTTGAAAGAACATTCTGGGACAGCTTCAGAGAAAAGTCATCCAGAAGAATGGAGGCTAGACTATAAAACTGCAAATGACAGTAAACACTGCTTCCATGTAGTAGTCATCTAGCTTTTAGTAGCGCAAATTTCATATACCTGAAGAAAGTCTTGTAGCCCTCTGACATCTCTCCAAGGTGTTACAGAGGGGAGCTATTGCTTCAGTTACATAACATTAGTCAGAACCGATTCAGTTCCGGCCAACCTCATAACCTCTTTAGTCATGAAACCATCTTCTTACCATTCACAAAAAGGCTGTTTGGGTCCAGATTGTACCCCTCCATCTTGGTGAAACCGTTGGTCTCATTTATGAATTTGTGATATATGTTCACTCGATCAAAAGGTGGAGCTGTGGCATTTTTACGGTAGCAGCAGACACTGTCTATGCCGGTGTTCTCGCCCTGATTCACAGATCTGGGAATGAAAAAACACAACTTGAGATATATTCAAAGAAGCTGTAGAAGACTTTGGATGGTTTCACATAGGTAATGTTGCACTTGGATCCACCTGGCAGGCCAAAAAGTAAAAAGTGAAGGCTTCCAGTTCAGACTTAATACAGTTCTATCATCCTCTTTTTGGAATTTTTCAGACAGTATTTTTAATCTGGTGTTTCATTTGAATTCCATTTCAAATCATATTGTGGCAAGGAGTGGAGGAAGTCAACCATGGACCCTCTAGCAAAGTGATAGGAACTGAATCTGAAGCAAAGAAATTGTTTGGGATATAAATGCAGAAGGATGTCTTTTAGAGATTTGTTTATCACTGTGACATGCTACAGAATGGAACTGAAACAAACTATGGGTTTGCTCAAGTATAACTAGATGTTGCTAGAAGTCATTCCCATAACAGGGCATTCAGGTATTGTGAAAAAAATCTCCATCTCATGTTACTTACCTTAATGTTGATAAACTACAGTTGATCAAATATGGACCAATCTTGCTGGTATTCAATATCTGTTCCAGCTAGGTTTAAAGAAAAAACGATATTTATTGCTGGTAGTAAAAATACTATTTTTGACTATTTTATGAAAATCTTATGTGGTAGAGCAGCTGGGGTAAGCATGCATTTGTCTCTCACCAATTTACAGAAGACTCCTTGTGTTGAGCTGAACAGCTTTGACTTGGGGTTGCCCATCTGTGGCCTATACATCAAATTATTTACAGTGAAGTTGAGTGTAAAGCATTCAGTTGCCACTGGAGGTTTGAAAGTGGGAGAAACAGCTAGAAGAAAAATAATGGATCTCAGATATGGAAGCCAGAGTTGATGCAATATTATCAGTGTATCAATCACTGTTTGTATGTTTTGGTGGCTATTATGAACAGTGGTGTTTCAGTATTGGATAATTTAAGATAAGAAGCCAAATCACCAGCCTGAAGATGGCCAGTGGGACCTCATCGAAACGTTGCCAAAATACTCTCAATCTTACATGGGAAAATACCCGAACACGCCAAGACCTGCATACTTGTACCCGTGAAAATCTACGAAAATCTACGGGTTCAGGTATGCAGGTCTTGGCGTGTACGGGTCTTTTCCCACGTAAGATTGAGAGCATCTTAGCAACATTTCGATGAGGTCCCACTTGCCATCTTCAGGCTGGTGCTTTTGGCTTCGTGC